CATAAACACACATACATGCATATATGTATACACATACATACATGCATGCGTACATACATCCATATATGCATACATATGTACATACATGCAAACATATATACGTACGTACATGCGTAGATATATACACGGAAACCTACATGTATACATGCACGCATGCATGCATACATGCGTGCATGCACACATACAGACTTACATACACATATGCATACACAAATACATATGCACATGAATGCATACACACATATACATACATACACATGCACAGATGCGAACCACTATACGTATAAATATGCATTTACCTACACAAATATGTGAATTGACAGATGCATGCGCCTATATATACATATATGTAAAAGCGTACATATACATTGTACCGAAATACATCAATCCATGAATACATATAGAAGTACACAGACAGACCTATGTACACACATATATACATATGTCTATACGTACGCGCGTACGCACATATATATATATATATATATATATGCCTGAACCGATATACATCCAGATCTGCATACATACACGTACACACATAAATACACATATTTGCATATGAATAGACATACATACACGCATGCGTACATACACCCACATATTCAAATATGCGTGCATATGTACATACATGCAAACATACACACATATATATATATATATACACATACACGTACGTGCGCAGCTATATACACGGAAACATACATGCATAAATGCACGCATGCATGCATACATGCGCTCATGCACACATACAGACTTACATACACATATGCATACACAAATACATATGCACATGCATGCATACACACATATACATACATACACATGCACATATGCGAACCACTATACGTATACTTATGCATCTACCTACACAAATGTGTGAATGGACAGATGCATGAGCCTACACATATGTGTAAACGCGTACATATACATTGTACCGAAATACATCAATCCATAAATACATATAGAAGTACACAGACAGACCTATGTACACACATATATACATATGTCTATACGTACGCGCGTACGCACATATATATATATGCCTGAACCGATATACATCCAGATAGGCATACATACACGTACACACATAAATACACATATTTGCATATGAATAGACATACATACACGCATGCGTACATACACCCACATATTCAAATATGCGTGCATATGTACATACATGCAAACATACATACATATATATATATATATATATACATATATATATATACGTGCGCAGCTATATACACGGAAACATACATGTATAGATGCACGCATGCATGCATACATGCGTGCATGCACACATACAGATTTGCATACACATATGCATACACAAATACATATGTACATGCATACACACATATACATGCATACACATGCACTTATGCGAACCACTATACGTACACATATGCATATACCTATACAAATGTGTGAATGGACAGATGCATGCGCATATATATATATATGTGTAAAGGTGTACATATACACTGTACCGAAATACATCAGTACATAAATACATACAGAAGTACACAGACAGACATATGTACGCACACATATATGTCTATAAGTATGCACGTACGCAAATATGTAGATATATGTATCTATATATATATATATATATATGCCTGAACATAGAGACATCTAGATATGCATACATATACGTCCACGCACATCCATGCGTAAGACATATGCATTTTAAATACACATATACTGAAATGTTTATATATCGGTTTCAGCACGCACCATGAACCCCCTCTCCTATTGGGAGATGGCAAGAGGAAAGGGGTAGTAAAGGTGTGTGCGCCGGTCGTGGAGGCGGAGGTTTCGGAGTTAGTTGGTTCGTATGTCGGAGACGGAGGCTGTTGAGTATTGGGTGTCGTGTTGCAGACGGAGGGAGTGGAGTAGAAGGTTATGTTCAAGATCCGCTTGGCGAGGGAGCCTGTTGAGTAGTGGGTGTTGTGTTGGAGACGGAGGCTGTTGAGTACCGGGTGTTGTGTTGTAGGCGGAGGGAGTTGAGTAGAAGGACATTTTCAAGTTCAGCTTTGGGAGGGAGCCTGTTGAGTATTGGGTGTTGCGTTGGAGACGCAGGCTGTTGAATACTGGGTGTTGTGTTGTAGACGGAGGGGGTTGAGTAGAAGTTTATGCTCAAGTTCAGCTTGGGGAGGGGGCTGTAATAATTAGTGGGTTCTGTGTTGAAAACGAAGGCTGGTTAGTACTTAGTGTCGTGTTGTAAACGGAGGGGTTGGAGTAGAAGGTCACTTTCAAGTACAGCTTGAGGAGGGAGCCTGTTGGGATACCCCGGGCGGAGGTGATGGTGTTGGAGCCGCCTGGGGGTCCGAGGTGGCCCAGCACTGGTCCTGGCCAGCAGGAACGGCGGGCAGGTTCGAGGCGCTGGGCTCGGGAAGGTCTTGTGGCCCTTCTCGGCCTCTGGGGGCCGTTTCTTTTCGGGCCGCGGGACCGTGAAGATCAGAACTGGTGTGCAAAACCGCACCAGATGAATCCCTGGAAGGGTCCGGGGACCGATTTGAACGAATTTGCCTCCTTCTGGAGTCCCAACCAGTGCAGAACCTCCGCCGCCTCCAACCCTCAGGGACCCTTGAGCGGGGACTCTCCTTGCTAAACTGGGACATCTGGCGCGCCCGAGGCCACTGCAGCCGTGAGTCGAAGCAGTCTCCCTCCTTCGCTCTCTCCAGGTGGAACTGTCTGCATCCTGGTTGGTACCGTCCTGGTCCAGGGGGCCCCGAGCCCCCTGAGAGCTGCCAGCCCTTCTCGGGCTTCAGGACTTCCGGAGCCTGCCTCTGGACGCCCGACCGAGGCCACTCGGCCGCCAGATCGGCGGCAGCCGAACCGGCGCTCCAGTGGCGGGGTGTGCGGAGGGTGGAGATCTTCCCCGCTCGGCCGCCGAGCGGAGTGGGCCCGATCCCAGGGGCCCCGGGTCGGGCGACGGGGCTGCACCGTCCAAGAAGGCGGAGGGCATTCATCGGGATGCAGGGTCGGAGGATCCTGAGAAGGTCTCCTCGGAGGGAGGGAGGGCGTCTGTGGAGGCCCCCCTGCCGTTGTAGAAGGGCCGCCCCCCGCCTCGCCCCGCCCCCTGCCCTTTCCTCCGATGTGTCTCGCCTTCTTCCGTGCAGGATCCCCAGAAGGCCCGGCCCTCTCCCCAGGGCTGGCATCTCATCCCGAGTCGTTCTGCTCGACTGCACGTAGGAGTGACCCTTCGCCGGAGCGACATGCGGTGCGGACCCACTGGGGCCCCCCGATCGCCGAACGCGATTCGAGACGATCGACATGGGTACGGAATGAATGGGCACAATGCCCAACAGCAGTTCCTGTTCATTTTTGACAGGACTCGCTGTCCGCGCCGCCGCGGACGTTTTTCTTTGAAGACGAACAACCGCCTGCCCAACAGCGGCCGCTGTCGGCTTGGGACAACATTTGCTGTTCGGCATTGCACCCATTGTTCCCGCACCCATTCTGGGCGTCCAAAGCGATGCGGCAGTAGCGCCTTGCGCGCCTGTGTTTGGCCCCCCCGCGGCCCGCAGAAAGCCGCGCGCCAGAGGCCACTCTCACCCAGGGTCACTCTGGCGTGCAGCCGAGCTGTGGGCGGTCCTGCAGGGCCCGGCGAAGGCCCACAGAGGCCGCAGAAGCGGCGAGACGAAGCGCATTGCCCTCGGCACTGCGCTGGAGGTCTGGGAGCTGGAGGGCCCGCTCGGCGGCCGAGCGAGCTGGGACGCCGCAAGGGCTCAGAGCAGAGAGGCCCCTCGGCATCGCTCGGACGTGTGAATTTCTGTTTCGGCGAGGGGCATCCTGGATCATCGTGCGAAAACACACACACACACACACACACACACACACATACGCACACACACACACACACACACTCGGCGAGGGGCATCCTGGATCATCGTGCGAACACACACACACACACACACACACACACACACACGCACGCACGCACGCACGCACGCACGCACGCACGCACGCACGCACGCACGCACGCACGCACGCACGCACACGCACAACACAACAAAAAGCACGCACGGCATCGAAAAATGCGCGGGGAATGGGCGTCCGAGCGATGTCGAGGCCCCCGGAGGACGTAGCACCGCCTCCCGGGCAGCCGGCCGAGCTCCTGGACTCGTTCCCGAACCTCAGGAGCGTGAGGCCGGCAGACCCAGAAGCCTTCCTGCGCAGCGTCGAGATCGAGCGCACCAATCCCCTGGGGGTGAGCGGAGAACGCAAATGAATGATGTTGATGCTGATGCTGATGATGGTGATGATGATGATTATGATGCTGATGATGGTGATGATAGTGATGATGATGATGATGATGATGATGATGATGATGATAATGTCGATGATGATGATGTTGTTGATGATGATGATGATGATGATGATGATGATGATGATGATGATGATGATGATGATGATGATGATGATGATGATGATGATAGAATGGAGAAGCGCAAACTGCATGCAACGGATCTGTGTGCCAGCGTGGACCCCACAGTCATGGCGCTGCGGATGTGCAAGCGATGTGGTGCAGGTGATGTGGCGCAGGGGAGAAGAGCCCCTCAGCGCAGGCACAGCGCCGTGGGCGGCAACGGGACGGCCGCGGGCGGCACCGTTGCGAAACCTCGCCTGCCCCAATCAGCGCACGAGGCGGCCACGGGCGGCAGCTCGGCGAAACCTCGCCGGACCCACCCAGCGCGCGAGGGGGCACCGAGGCGGCCACGGGCGACGTGGCAAATCTTCGCTGGACCACACCAACACTTCCTCAGTAAGGGAAACGAGAAGCCCTGGGTGCAAGACCTGTCTGGGGAATTCATGCTCGGGGGTCCGCGCGGATCTTTGCGAGGGTCGGCGCTGGACCCCCCCCTGCCCTGGCGCGCGAACCGCGCCAGGGCGCGGCGGTGGAGTCGCCGCCAGGGCAGGGGAGGGTTCCAGCGCCAGACCTCGCACGGACCTCGGAAAATGTGTGTTCGTGCAGTTCTTCTTTGTTCCAGGTGACTGGCGTCCTCGGCAACGGCCTCACTTATTTCGTTCAAGAGAATCGCGAGCCCAAGCATCGTGCCGAGCTCTTTCTCATCGTCGGCTTCGGCTCCCTCGTGGAGGACGAGCACGAGCGTGGCATCGCACACATAATAGAGCACCTCGGCTTCTCGGCGACGAAGTCGTACGAGAACCACGCGATCGTGAAGTTCCTGGAGTCTATCGGCGCCCCGTTCGGAGCGTGCCAGAACGCATACACCTCCTTCGACCGCACCGTCTACACACTGCACGTCCCCACGGACAAGGAGGGTCTCGTTGCGGAGTCCCTCACGGTGCTGCGCGAATTCGCTTATTTCACGCGCATCTCGGATGAGGACCTCGAGAAGGAGCGCAAGGTCGTCCTCGAGGAGTGGCGGGAGAGCAAGAACGCCCAGGGGCGCCTCTTCGAGGACTACATTAACGCCCTGTGCAAGGGCTGCAAGTGGTGCGAGCGCCTGCCGATCGGCACGGAGGAGGTGATCAAGGGTGCCTCCTCGGAGACCTTGCGATCCTTTTACCGCCGCTACTACCATCCTGCCAAAATGGCAGTGGTAGCCGTCGGAGACTTTGATGGCAAGAGCGTCGAGTCCACCATCAAGGAGCTCTTTGACATCGCTCCCGAGGCGATCGACCCGCTGCCGCGAGATCCCGTGGCGCCCGAACGGCCGGTCCACCTCGTGCCCGACACCGAGGGCGTGCTGGTGGCGAGCAGCACAGACCCGGAGCTCAGCTTCGCGCAGGGGATGGTGGACTGCAAGCGGCCTCGCAGGGCCGTGTCGAGCACGGAGGGCCTCCGCAGGAGGCTGACGGAGGACCTGTTCCACAAGGCCCTGAGCTCGCGGCTGCTGAAGCTCGTGATGGAGCCCAAGGGCCCTCGCAGCTTCTTCATGGTCCTGCTCCTCCTCCTCCTCCTCCTCCTCCTCCTCCTCCTCCTCCTCCTCCTCCTCCTCCTCCTCCTCCTCCTCCTCCTCCTCCTCCTCCTTGGTCGCCACGGAGACGGGAGAGCCCGTCCCGGTCCTGAGCCCGATGAGCATCTCCCTGTCGCCCCTTCCGGGCCGCATGCGGCCGGCGTTGCGGGAGATCTTCCGGGAGATCGAGCGCGTGAAGCGCATGGGCTTCCACGATTCCGAGGTGGCGCGCGCGAAGCGCTCGGTCCTGGCCGAGTTCGAGGAGGAGTACATCGAGCGCAACAATTCGAGGAAGAAACATCGGCATAGACATAAGTTGTCGGAGCCCCGAGCGGGTCTCTTGGATCGGCGCTGTACCCCCTTTCCCTGGCCCTCCGGCGCCGCCAGGGGGAGGCCCTCAGCGCCGATCCGCGCGGAGCTCCGAAAGTTTGCTCACGGTCGGGAGCTTTTGGATAGCGTGTCGCCTCGCCGGTTCTAGCCCACCGCGCCTCGGTGCGACACGTTACTTTGGATGGGGCAATCATCGCCCCCCCCCCCTGGATCCGCTGGGGGGGGGGGGGGGGCACGTGCTGTCAGAACGGGTGGAAGGGGGGTTGGAGGAGGAGGAGGAGGAGGAGGAGGAGAGGAGGAGGAGGAGGAAGAGGAGGAGGAGGAGGAGGGGGAGGAGGAGGAGGGGGAGGGGGAGGAGAAGGAGGAGGAGGAGAAGGAGGAGGAGGAGGAGGACGTGGAGGATGGGGGCAGGGGATGGGCAAGCCCCGTCGGAAGGTTAATCGCCCACCCCTCGATTAACATCCCACCCAGAGTAAGTGTTTCGCAGCTTGCCCAAGGTTTCCCTGAGGTTTTCGATGGGAAATCGAACTTACTTATGGAAAAGAGGGGCCTCGTTCCTTGGTTAGAATTGCTCAGGTCAACGATACGACTGTACGCGCTATCCTTTCGCATGGCTTAGCGTGTCGCCACGGCCGCCTCCGCGACACGCTAAGCAAAAGTTTCCGACCGTATGTTTATGCCGTCTTTGGTTCCTCCAACAATCGGCCCTCGTCGACCTTCGCGGAGGAGTACTGTAGCTTCTTCCTGGACGGGCAGCTGGCGCCCGGCGCGGAGCAGAGCGCGCAGCTGGGGGCGAGCATCGTGCCGTCCATCACTGCGGCCGAGGTTTCACGCGTTGCGGAGGAGTTCCAGTTCGAGAGGACTTCGGCGGCGCACGCATGAGCTACAGAAGAAAACGGGGTCGTCTGCGCCGACATTCGTGCGCAAGCTTTCCGCGTAAGGTCGCGCGTAAGCGCCCTCGCTTCCAATATGGCGTCCCGCGCTGGCGGCCCGCAAAAGCCACCGCGTAAGGTCGGTACGTCATCTCGCGTAAGACCCGTTTCCTTTCGTCGTTCGCATGGGCGTTCGGCACGATCGAGATTGGCACGGAAAGAGTGGGAACGAAGACCGACAGCAGTCCCTGCCATTTTGAGCAGGACTCGCTGTCGGCGTCGCCGCTGGCGTGGAAAAAAATTGACAAAGGCGCCTTCCCAGCAGCGGCCGCTGTCGGCTTTGGGCAACGTGTGCTGTTGGGCATCGCACCCACAGTTCCGCACCCCTTTCGAGCGTACCAAGGGTCGGCGCCAAGGGGGGGAGCGTTCTGAGCAGACTGCGGGTGCTTCTTGGACGGCTGGGGGCCTTCCCAGAAGGGCCCAGACGCCTCTTCTTGGCGGCGCGTAGAGCGGGGGATGGGGGAGGGGGGGAGGCGTCTTAGAAGCACCCCCGCTCCTGCGAAGGCGCGGGCCTTGCCCGTAGATGCAGGGCCGGCGCCTTCTGACAAGCAGCCTGACTCTCAGAAGCCTTCCCCCCCCCCCCACCCCCTCGTGCGCGCCGCCAATCGTCGAGGAGAAGGGCAGGAAGGCTTCTGGAGGAGGCCCCCCCCCGCCCCCCCCTCCAGAGAAGCCTCTTCGGGGGCTTGCCGTCCTCAGAAGCCCCTTCGGGGGCTACCCGGGAGAGGCGCCCCCCCTCGCGCCACGCAGCCCCGTTTGCGCGCGCGCGCCGCCGAGGAACCTCGTGGTCAAGATCGCGACGCCGCCCATGTCGCTGCGGAACCCGCTCTACACGTGCTGGAGCGTGCTGCAGGCCATCTGGAACCGCGTGCTGCCGCGGCCCAGGCGCCGCTGGGGCTGCCGAGCCTCCTGCGACGTCCTCCCTCTCCCTCCCCCCCCCCTTCTCCCTCCTCCCTCCCCGCCTCCCCGCCTCCCACCCCTTCTCCAACCCTCTTGGTCCTCCACCTCCTCGACACTCCGCCTAATTACCTCTTCCTCCTCCTCCTCCTCCTTCATCCCTCTTCCAATGAACAGTTTCTCCTTGCCGCACCACCAGCGTCCGTTGACCAGGCCGGCCGTTTCGCCTTAGACGTCCTGACAATCCATCATACGACCCCGAGGTTTATCGGATTGAAGGCCGGTGGTTTTCGAGCTGTGGTTCTCGCCTCCGCGCCGCGCAAATTCATGCTACACGTTCCGAACGGTCCGAACGGTTACATGGATGGAGGGGTGGTGTCAGCATGAGGTGCTCGTTGTATAGCGGCGTGCACATTCGTTTAAAAAAACAGCAACAGCTATAAAGCTGGAGGTTCGCTTGCTTTTTGTTCAAAAAGGGCAGATTGGTTGAGACGTCCTCAAATATATCAACGCCACGGTATATTGCGCAACATCTTAACGGATGGAGGCCGCTTCGTTTCCAGAGTGAGGTGCTCGATAGATTCTTCTTCCAAAAAAGACCACCATGATCTCAAGATTGTGCCACAGTAACACGGGTGGAAGGCGGCTCCTTTTCAAAATGGGGTTGCTACAAATTTGAAACGTCGGTACGTTCTATAGCCATAGATTACAGCTTTGCATTAGCTGCACTGATGGAGCCTTTGCGGAGCGAGTTGTCGCCGGGCAACTCCGTGAATTGAAGGCCCGGCCTTATCCCTCAAGCAGTGGCGAGGCGTCGTGGCGGGCCTATAGGCCCGCAGGAACGTTTTCAGTACCTCTTGCGGTGTGCAAGAGGTGTTCCCAGAACGTGTCTGGCTGAGACCGCCTTGGTTAAACACATCGGGTCAGTGTCTTAAGCACAGAGTTCCGTTGTTTCGAGCGTTTTCTGGGTTCTGAGAACAGGTCGTGGTCCTAAAGGCTCATAGGAATGCCGGGACGGCCGGTCCCTGCTCAAATGCCTGATAGCTCGGAGGATGGAGGGCGGCTCCTGTCCAACCGTCCCCGCCCGCCCGAGCTGCGAGCCCGCGGGGCGCGCGCCCGTCCTGCACGGGGGGGGGGGGGGGGGGCCGCGCGCAGGGAAGGGTGACGCCTGCCGGGGCCGGTGGTGGGGGGGATCCGGGGCGGGAGGGTTTTTTGTTTACGCCGCTGCCTGTCCGCAGGCTCCGCGCCGCCTGGCGCCAGACAGGGAACGCCCCTGCCAGTGGAGCCCCAGATCGCCTGGGTCCTTCAGGCCATCTTGGTCCTCCTGTGCAGGTCCTCTAAACGAGGCCTGCGCTCGTATCATCACGGAGGAACCTAGACTTTCTACAGGCCTAGTACTATTGTTGTGCTTGCTCGGAGTTGTTCCCAAACCGTCTTTGTCCTTTGTCCTTTGTCCTTGTCCATCATCCCTCGGCCTTATAAATGATCGCCCTTGTCACACCACCAGACGTGTCCGCAGATGGACATTGAGCATGAAGACGCTCTTACGACAGATGACCCTGAAGAGTACACACCTCGGCAGCTGCAAGGGCGGAGGGCTGGTGGTTTACGAAGTGCGGTTCGCGCTTCAGTGCCGCGCACGTTCGTTCGAGAAGTCCCGCATCTACAAGGATGGAGGGCGGGTGGTTTCCCAAGTGCCGTTCCCGCAGCGCCGCGCACATTCGTTTTACCAGTCCTGGTGGCGGGAGGGCTGTTTTTTTTTTCCGGAATGCAGCTCGCGCTTCAGCGCCGCGCACTCCCTTTTCAAAGCTTCATACCGTTGCAGGATGGAGGCTGTTTTGACTTGCAGATGTCGCAGGCCTAGAGGTTGACACCAACACCAAGATCGGCGGTGTTCCTCCACCGAGGGAAGAAGATCCCGATCTCGGTGATGGTGGTAATATTCTGGCTTCCAAGGTGGCCGAAATATTACCACCAACACCGAAATCTAGGACCACCTCCCCCCTGTGGAGGCAGCCCTCTGTCTTGGTGTTAGAGCCAATTTCCAGGCCTCCCAAGATGAGCTCTCGCCTCAGCGCCGCGCACATTCACTCCTTTCCACCTGCGAGCGCTGCAAAAAACGACGCCGTCTTCACCGACCTTCGCGCGGAAGCCGCCCGCGCAAGGTCGCCCGCCAGGCGCCCTCGTCCCCAGTGTGGCGCGCCGCGCCGGCGGCCCGCGGGAGCCACCGTGGGAGGTCGCTGCGTCATCTCGCGCAAGACCTTGTTTGCTCTTCGTCGCTCGAAGAGAACGGCCCCTCACCGTCGCTGTCGGCCTCGTCGTCGTCGTCGTCGTCGTTTTGTCGATTCCCTCGTCGTCCTCTTCGTTGTCGTCCTCGTCCTCGCCCACGTCGTCCTCGTCCTCGTCCTCGACCTCACAGGGCCCAACAGCCATGAGGATAAGAGGCCTGCCCGTGGCCAGCCTGCGGCTCTCGATCGGGACGCGCTCGAGCTCTGCTGCCCGACTATCCGGGCTGCACGGGAGCAGTTCGGCGCCTTCTCGGAACGAGGCCGTCGCTCCAGACTTCCGCACGGTGTAGGATTGCGTCGGGCCCGTCCCTCTACAGGAGGAATCTTCAAAAGTAGTCAAAAAATAGTCAGGGGATTCTTTTTTGGAGTACTTTTTGACCATTTTGGAGTTTGTTCTGGGTATGCTTACTTTTCGTCGAAAATCGCCCTGTAGGGAGGCACGCCCAACTTAAGTGCAGGATCGGACTGCTGGAAGTGTGCAAAGCATGCACCGAAGCAGGGGCAGATCCATTCCATGACGGGGCTATCGCTGAGCACGTCCTCGAGCTTTACGCCCCAAAACATGCACCGAAGAAAGGGGCCGATCCGCGTCCGTTCAGGGGCCGTCATGGAGCATTTCCTGGAGCTGCATGTCCCAAACCACACACCAACGCAGCGGCAGGTCCATTACATAACGGTGCTATCGTTGAGCATGTCTTTGAGCTCTTTACGTCCCAAGGCATACACCAAAGCAG